GTTGACCAGCCCTCGGAGCTTTGCCCGCTGGAATGTGGTTTTTGCGACACCCTGTGCCACCGCATCTGGAAATGCCCGGCTGTTCGCGAAGCCCGCGCAGCTGCAGTGGACCAGCAATTGCTTGATGTAGTGGGCAGTTTCTCGGACAGCAAGGGTCTCTTCTTCGCTGTAACCCCAAGGGGGGTGTCGCATCCAGGAGATCCCCCCCCCGTGCCCCTCGGGGGCCCTGGTGGCCGAGTGGTTTTTGGAACCTTCTCAGGATCCGACCCGCACCCATGGGCAAGTCTTCGTAGATAGGCAACGCAGCCGACGCATTATCACAGATTTATCGGAGTTGCACGGGCGATCGTCGGCTTTCGAGACGGACAGGGGACCGGCGAGATCCGAGGCCCAGTGCATTCGCCGCTTCCGCAGACGCCGCAATGCACCGAGTTCTTTGCTTTCACTGCTGCCACCGTATGCATAGCTGGCCCGTCGTCTGTTTACTCTGATTGTTTGAATGTTGTCAAGCAGTTCCAGGCCAGCCATTCTGATCGCGTAGATTTCAGAGAGTGCATGGTGGCCACGCTCTCCAGGCTCAAATCTGCGAGGGTGTGAGGCGCATAGATGAGATCTGTCAGGTAAAGGCTCACCGGCCTCTCTCTCTGAAGAGTCGTTGTCGGAGATCGAGAGATTTGCGAGACTTGGCAATGATTGCGCAGACCCGGGGGCGAAAGCCGCCCTCGAGCTTCGCCCAAGCGATTACGAACTCATGGAGGAGGTCAATCGACAAAGTAAGTTTGTATCATCTTTCTGCTGCAATGCCATGGAAGTGCGTCCTTGGCTCCCGTCTCTCAAGGAGGATGGAGAGGTTGAGTGTCAGCCGACCCCAGCACCCGTGAGAGACAAGGATACTCTGGATTGCCACTATGTATGGGTCGCTGGACTCCGGCGAGATGACTTGCGCTGCAGGGCCACCCGCACGGCAGACTTCACCGCCGCGGTAATGTGCGCGCCTCGGCAACCAAAGCGTACTTGCACTGGCGAAGTTAGGATAGGATTTGACGAGGATCAATGGCAATCGCCACAGCATTGCTTATTTTCCTTGTTCGGAGAGGTCCTGGCTAGTTACATGTTTGCACTGTGCCGCACTCGTTTCCACGGGTTCCCCGCTGAAGTCAGATTTGCACCTTTGCCGCTGCGGTGGCAAGAGGGGCAATCGACCGGTGGACATGGAACCGCGTGCTTCGACGCTTTCACCCACAGCGCGGCAAGGACTCCGCGCGCGTTTTGATTGATTTTTCCGACCTGCTGCCGCCTGTCTCTCAAAATGACGACGGTGAGAATGTGTATTCGGAGCGGCCGCAGCAGGCCATGGAACCTGAGGACCGCGAGCAACCGGTAGAGCCTCAGATCCCTCTGTCAGTTGATAAGGCGACAAAGCCAGACCAATTTCTAGCGGACGACAAGGCAGCAAAGTTTTAACTTGCCAAGAGCCCAGATGGCGCACGATCCACGCCTTCTGAAGCTGTTTGCTTCAACGCTGAGTGAGGTGTGTGCGGGCCCTGTCCTCGACGCCGATGAGAGCCGTGACGCCCTCCCCCGTCCCGGAGATCTCTGAGGTGTCGGTGTCGGGCTTGTGTGATGTTGTGGACAGGACTCTGGAACGGGGGGCTGTCGAGGCTCCGCTCCCGAAGCTCTGCCCTGCTCTGTCTTTCCCACACTTGCGCTTCCAGCGAAGCTGGTGTTTCTCTGTCTGCATCGAGCCCCGATGCGCTTTCATATGAGGCTGCTAGTAGTGGCGGTGCCTGCGCCGTCTCTGACCCTACCCCGCCCCCCCCCCCTTGTATCTCGTGAGCAGTGTAGCCCCACCTCCACTTCCAGAGCAACAGGCTTTGGATCTCGAGGTCGAAGCGGCTCCGTTCGCGCCTGAGCCGTCTCAGGAGGACAAGGAGCGAGCCTTCCAGGCAAAGGTGCATCGTCTTTTAAGAGCCGCAGGAGGCAAGCCCGTCGACCCTGGGGGTGGGGAGCGGGGGGCTGGATGAAGACACGTCAGTCTAGCGTCACAGAGGCACGGCCTCGATAGTGGCACTAGCGTGTCCCCTCTGTCTCTGCCGGTCTCCTTTGAGGCAGCGTGCTTCTGTGCCATCAACGACTCGCCGCAGTTGTTGGGCACGTTCATGTGTGCCAGCCTTCACCCTGGCCAAGAAGCGGCTGCCCCCTCGCGGAGAAAATACTGAGGCACTACAGCTTGCCAGGCCTATTCGGAGGCTCGCCCGTTGGGAGAGATTGAGAAGTCGGGCGCCTTGAGGGGCCCTGTATTGTTATTGCCGTCGGAAGCAAACGATCAGCTGGGACGATTTCTCTGGCCCACTGGAGGCTCCAGCCGCCCTTCGCGCCCCGTGTCCCACCTCCCAGGGGCCCCAGGAGGCACAGCTGGGGAACCAAGGCCCAACACTCAGAACACATCTGGAAAGGACGCTCTCTAGCTTTTTACCAGCCTCGAACGTATCCCTATCCCTAAGATTGACACGCCAAAAGGCGATGACAATCTTAGGGATTCGCCCTCGAAAAATAAGGGAATCCCTAAGATTGGCATCGTAATGAGGAGGTGCCCAGCATAGGGATAGGGATATGCTCCAGGCTGGTAAGTTTCTCTTTCAGGGGCGACCCCAATCCGCTCAAAGTACGGTTCCCGAATCACTCCCGGGGCTCATCCTGGCTGGTCTTTCGAGCCGGGTCCGTCCGTGGCGACGAGAACCTCCAGAACAGCCCACAAGCTCCTAAAGTGCAGACGCTGCCGGCGAGGGCAGGACTTAGCAGGCGGATGGTGGACGAGGAGGAGGAGGAGGAGGAGGACGAGGAGGACGAGGAGGAGGAGGCGGAGGAGGAGGAGCTTGAGGCGAAAGAGGAGGAGGAGGCGGAGGAGGAGGAGGAAGAGGAGGAGGAGGAGGAGTGGGAGGATCAGGAGAAGGAGGTGGAGGAGGAGAAGGGAACTGGAAGGCTGAGAAGGAGAGGAGGAAGAGGAGGAGGAGAAGGTGGAGGAGGAGGAGGAGGAAGAGGAAGAGGAGGAGGAGGAGGAGGAAGAAGAGGAAGGGAGGATGAGGAGGATTAGGACGAGGACGAAGACGAGGACGAGGAGGAGGACGAGGGCGAGGACGAGGAGGAGGAGGACGAGGAGGAGGAGGAGGAGGAGGGACAGGAGGACGAGGAGAAGGAGTGGGATGATGATGATGCTGATGATGATGATGATGATGATGATGATGGTGATGATGATGATGATGATGATGATGATGCAGATGCTGATTATGATGATGATGATGATGGTGATGATGCCGGTGCCGATGCCGATGCCGATGCTGATGCTGATGATGCCGATGATGATAATGATGATGATGAGGATCATGAGGATGAGGATGAGGATGATGATGAGGATGATGCTGATGCTGATGATGATGATGCTTATTAGTATGATGGTTTGATGCTGATGTTGATGATGATGATGATGATGCAGGTGATGCTGGTTATGCTGACGATGGTGACGATGATTTTCATGATGATGATGATGCTGACGATAATGATTATGATGATGCTGATGGTGGTGATGATGAGGATGATGATGGTGATGTTTACGATGATGCGGAAGATGATGATCACGACGATGATGATGGTGATGATGATGATTATGATGTTGATGATGGTGATGGTGATACTGATGCTGCTGCTGATGATGAGGATGCTGCTGCTGCTCATGGTGATGATGAGGATGAGGATGAGGATGATGAGGATGATGATGATGTTGATGATGATGATGCTGCTGAAGATGATGATGGTGCTGATGCTGATGATGATGCTGCTGATGATAAGGATGAGGAGGATGATTAGGAGGAGGGGGAGAAGTCGGAGGACGAGATGCTGCTTCTATGATCATGATGATGCTGGTGGTGATGATGATGAGGATGCTGATGATGATGATGCTGATGCTCATGCTGCTGATGATGCTGATGATGAAGATGATGCTGATCATCATCATGCGTTTGCTGCTGCTGCTGCTGCTTATGGTGATGATGAGGAGGATGAGGATGAGGATGAGGATGAGGATGATGCTGATGATGAGGAGGAGGAGAAGGAGGAAGACGAGGAGGACCAATGTAAACCAACGAGTCATCAACGATGCTTGAATAAGCCCTCCCTCCAAGCTCTTCTAAAGCCCCTACAACAGTTCATTTCCACTGAGGGAACTGCCTCGTTGGAAGGTAACCGCTTGAAGACCCTGAAGCATGCCGAAACATTGTACTTGGGATTCCAACGCCACGGATCAACCTGACTGCTGCGTCTTGACGGTTCCGAATCGTGCCAGAACGCCATTTTTGGGACTTCAACACAGCGAATCAACGTAACTGATGCACCCTCATACTTCTGAATCCGTCCAGACACCCTTTCTGGTACTGTGATCACGGGAACCCGTGAAACTCTTGCAACTGTTATTAGCGAGTGTGCGCGGCGCTAAGGCCAGCGCCACATTTTGATAACCATACGTCCTCAATCCGTGGAACTGTTGCAATTTGTGTAAGCGAATCTGCGCGGCGCTAATGCGCCCGCCCGCCATCTGTGAAGTTGTTGCCAACTTTTAAGCTTCAGAGTCATAAGTGGTGAGGAAATCTCAGGCGAAACACCCCCCCTGCCCTAAAAACTGGCCTGGGGGTGCGACAGGGAGAAGTTGTTTATGACGAAAAGGAATGGTGAAGGAGGAGGAGGAGGAGGAGGAGGAGGAGGAGGAGGAGGAGAGAGGAGAGAGGAGAGAGGGAGGAGGAGGAGGAGAGGAGGAGGAGGAGGGAGGAGGAGGAGGAGGAGGAGGAGGAGGAGGAGGAGGAGGAGGAGGAGGGGAGGAGGAGGAGGAGGAGGAGGAGGAGGAGGAGGGGAGGAGGAGAGGAGGGAAGGAGGAGGGGAGAGGAGGCCAGTGGGAGGAGGAAGGAGGAGGAGGAAGAGGAGGACCAGTGGGCCCTGTGCGATCTGCTTAGGCCGTGCCTGCCGCCCCTGCTGATGTACCAGTACATCCGCCAGACGGACGAGGACTGCTACGCCACGGAGGCGCCGGCCCTCCGCCGCCCTCGCAGCCACTGCTGAGCGGCCGACCGACTGCGGGTCGGTACGACCTAGACGAGTACGGACAGAATGGGTACGAAGACCGACAGCAGTTCCTACCCATTTTGAACCGGATTCGCCGACTGTGTCGCCGCGGGCGCCGTCCATTCGAGGCACAGACTCTCTTGTCCAGCAGCGGCCGCTGCCGGTTTTGGATGACATTTGATGTTGGGCGTCGTGCCCATTGTTTCCGTACCCATTGCGGGCGTGCCAAGCGGGGGGCCTCGCCTTCTGGGTTGCCGCTGGGGGTGGAGGACGCGTCGGCGGGGGAGAGCCGAGGTTCGAGGTTCGCGGGGGCACAGTTGCGCAGTTCACAGCCACCTGGTGAGCCGGGAGGCTTCGGCTAGGTGTGCATACGACTCCGCTCCGCTGGACCTCCCAGGGGCCCACGAGAGTGGCGACGGTCGTCGTCCGTGTCCGCGCGTGTCTGGGCGGGGGGCCCGCGCGGGGGCCACGGGGGGCCCCTCGCCGCCGCAGGGGGGTCCGCGCCGGCCTTCTGGCTGGCCAGGACGTGCCCCCGGGACAGGTCAGGGGGACGACTCCTGCCGTCGGGACTGAGGAGTAGGTCGACCCTGCCAGATCAAGGGTGCCCTCGTGTCCTGAGCTTCGCGACCCATGCCTTCTCACAATTCCTATGACAGTGTGGCCCTCGCAAGGGTCTTGTGTCCTCTCGCGTGTCCTCTCCAGTCGACCCCGACTGTATCTTATCAGGGTGGGGGGCCCACGCAGTCAGAGAGTGAGGATTCCGCACCCCCGAGCTGATGGGGACGATCGGGGAATCCCAAGATGCAGCACATCCGCCCGTCCGAAGTTCCCCCTCACTGGTCCAGCAAGCATTCTATTTCACTGTGCGGAGCGTCCCCCTTGAAAGGCGAGGTCTCCATAGGTCCGCAATTCTGGCGAATTCTACATTCTATGTTTTGAGGGACGCCGGCATCCGCCATCACAGCTGTAAGGAATGTGGCAAGGTAGGGCCGTAAGTTTCGAGGAGGTGCCTTGCGGCAGCCATGCTTTGAAAAGGAACCGCCCTGCAATCGTGTAGATGTTCCGCATTTGTCGAACATCTGATCGGTGAATCAGATGGAGCCTCTGGCGCGAGCCCCATGTTTTAATGACGCCGTCATTCTTCGGTGTAGGGAGCGGTTGGACGCGTTTGAGATCGAGGTGGTATTGTAGGTTGGAGGTATCAGGAGAAATGTTTTTTGAAGACGTACTGGCCTCCATCCGTTTTGTTGTTTATTGTTTGTTGATGAAGAAGAGCTATGTGTCGAAAACGAGTGGGCACGGCGCTTGGACGAGAGCACATTTGGAAAACGACGGGCCTTCGGCCTATCTTGCCACCGTGTTTGGGCTGGTTCAGAGACCTTTTGGGTACATATGAGGGTCTCTTGGGATGCCCCAGTCTGGGAAGTGTCTTGGGGACTTCCCGGGGGCCTCTTGGGGGCCCCTTGGGGCGTCTTAGGGGGGCCTCGGGAGCCTTTGGGGGGCTCTCGGGGCTATCTTGGGGCGGAAGGCTCGACATACCCATTCGTGCTCCCCCTCATGGGCCCCTTTTGAGGCCCTCTTGGGTGCCTCTCGGGCCGTCTTGGAGGCCTCCTGGCCGTCTTGGGGCCCTCTTGGAGCCTCTTGTGGCCCTCCTGGGATGGGGGGCTTCTGGGCAGTCCTGGGGAGCTACTGGGGGCTTCTCCAGCCATCTTGGAGTAACAGTTGAAAATGGCGAGAAGGTTAAAATCTTGCAAACACCACAAGGAAATCAGCCGTTATGGCCTCAGGCCTTCTATGGGGTGCTCCTGGGGCCCTTCGAGGTTCTTGGGGGCCCTTGAGTCGTCTTGAAACCATACGTTGCACTTCGCTGCATGCACCGTTCCAGTCGTGACCCTCTCCCCCTCCCCTTGCCCCTCCACCCTGATGAGGTAGACTTTGGTCAGGGAGGCACGGGAGGTCGATTGATCGCTCTGGCCCGCTGCGGATCGCCCTGGAAGAAGCGGCTGCGGCGCCCGATACACCCTCTGGGCCCGCCGGCTCCGAGAGATCCCAGACGTACCTCATCCCGATCTCGTCGGCTCGCCCTGCCGCCACCTCACCTCGCCGAGCGGGTTCCGCTACGCGCAAAGTGCCCTCTCGCAAACGTCCGAAAGACACCCGCCTGCTTTGATGCACCTTCTCGTAGAGACCCCCCGCGGGGATCCAGGCCACTCGCGAGCAGTTCCCTTGCGAGTAGTGGAACGCGCTCGTCGATCACCTGGGAGGAGGGGCCCGGAGGGGCGGGGACGCAGGGGCCTTCCCGGCCGGGCGCAGCGAGGGCGGCGTGCGCTGTCGGCTCGGGCTGCCCCGCTCGGCCAGCGGGCCCTGCCAGCGGCCCCCGCGATGGCGGCGCAGGCCGCTGCGTCCTGCGCCGAGTGCCGCAGTGACTGAAGGCCGTGGGCCCGCTTCCAAGCCTTCGGTCCGGAATTTTGGCTCCAGTGTGTCTCGGGGGCGGAAAAGAGGGGGGTGGTGACTAGGGGCGGTGGACATCATGGCGGGGGCCATGATATCTCTCCAGATCTCATGCCGCCTCTTCTTATTTCATTACGTCCCAGGCCCCCCCGCTGGGCCGCGCACATGCCGCCGGTCACGATTTGCACCCCCCCCCTCTTGGACACCCCCCTCTCGGCCGCTCCCGAAAGCCTTCGGTCCGGAATTTTGGCTTCAGTGCGTCGCAGCGGCGGTCCCGGCGACCCGCTCTCTGGGCGCTTGCGGGCGGACGGCGCGTCGCTCCGCCCCGCGGGGCGCGGGATGCTGGAAGGGCTCGGGACGGTGGCTCCCGGGAACGGGGGCGTGCCTAGCGGGTCGCGCCGGAGCGCGGTGGGCGGGAACCGGCGGAGCGGCACTCTCTAAGCCCAAGTTCCCGACCGGAGACATCCGGCGCGACGGGAAGAGCAAGACTCAGGAGGGAAAAACACACAGACACAATAAATCGGGAAGAGCAAGACTCAGGAGGGAACCGGCGGAGCGACACTCTGAGCCCAAGTTCCCGACCGGAGGCATCCAGCGCGGTGGGAAGTTACCACAGCCTGGAACATATCCCTATCCCTATGCTGGGCACCTCCTCATCACGATGCCAATCTCAGGGCCTCCCTTATTTTTTGAGGGCGAATCCCTAGGATTGTCATCGCCTTTTAGCGTGTCAATCTTAGGGATAGGGATACGTTCGAGGCTGGTAAACTCTAAGCCAAAGTTCCCGACCGGAGACATCCAGCGCGATGGGAAGAGCAAGACGGCGGTCTGCCGCTGCTGCTGGGCCTCTGGGGGCCCTCGCCTGGCCCCCGGGGCCGGAGACGCGGGCCCAGGGATGGGCCGGGGACTTCGGCATGCACGGGGACCCCGTGCTGAGCCACCGGGACCGCCAGAGGTTCCTTCAAACCACCGAGACCTCCAGAGGTTCCTGCCAGCCTGGTGGCCAGAGACCTCCGGCCGTCGGAGGTTCTGTTCTATCCCCGGCTTCGGCGTCCAGGGTCCTTTTTCTTCCAGCCCCAGCGCCCTCCGAAACAGCTCTGGGGCTCAGGGGCTCTGGGGCTCTGGGCCTGCAGGCGCGCGATCCCTCCCTTCAGCCTGGAGGCCTCGAGATCGAATCGGGTTGACCCAAAAGGGGGTCCAGCGACAAGGGGGTGGTGCAATAGATTTGTGGGGTTGCAATACATTGGGGGCGTGCAACACATTCCGAGGCTCAAATGTATTGCTGCATTTTCGCGTGCAATACATCAGCTGCAATACAATGCAATACAATTCTCCGGCGCAATACGTCTGCAATACAATTGCCCCAAATCTATTGCACCACCCCCTTTCAGCTGGACCCCCTTTCGGGTCGCCCAGATCGAAGAACAGAACCACGGAGTGATTGACTCTAGAATCTCCAGAAGCCCGCGCAGACCTCCGACAGCTTGTGCTGCTCGTGCCGCCCCTGCTGCTCTGCCAAAGCCCCGCCTGGGAGGGGGCGCTGGCCTCCGACAGCTGGCAGCTTCGGAGCCCACCCCTAAGATCCGACACCGCGTGAGAGAGCTGCGGCGTGGGGAGCCACGACCTGGGGTTAAGTCGGGCCTGTCCCCCTACAGGGGGATTTTCGACGAAAAATAAGAGATACCCCAAAAATACCCCAAGAAGGTCTCAAAATACCAAAAGAATAGTCCCCAGACTATGTTTGGACTACGGCTTATATTTTTTTGATTTTTTAATTTGTCGTCGAAAATCCCCCTGTAGGTGGACAGGCCCGACTTAAACCTGGGGGCCCTCGACCCCGCGGCTCTCTGCAGCACGTCCCCCAGGCTGGACCGACCCGCGTGACACTTGGGGGCCCTGGGGCCCGAAGGCCGGGCGGATCACTTGGCATCGCTCGGACGCGTGCCTTGAGTTTCTCGGCCAGCACCACCGTGGAGGATCTTGGATCATCTTACGGAAAAGAAGGCGCGCACGACATCGAAAAAGACATGTGGAATGGACGTCCGAGTCATGGCAAGATGACCGCCGACATCGTGCAGAACAAGTGACGGATTGCGGCGCCCGCCCAGATCTCAGGGCTGCCCTCCCCCCCTTGGGGGGTGATCGGTCCCCTCGCCGCAGGGCCTCGCCGGGCCCATGCGGCCCCGCCGAGCCCCGCTGGCGGCGCTGCTGGTCGCCGCAGCGTGCCCTGCGCTCGGGCTGGACAACGGCGTGGGGCGGCTGCCGCCGTTGGGCTACAACACGTGGACAGTCGGCGGTGGCCGGCCCGCTTTCTGCCACGCCGTGCCAGAGCCCAGCACGAGTCAGAGGGGGTAGGGATGCGTTTCCCTGATCTTTGGTTCCATGCAGTCCTGCTTGGCTCCGTTGCTACAGAGCCCCTTACTTCGCTCAAAAGAACTGCCCCTGATTGCCAATCATGCCCTCCATACCTGCGTGGTCACGAGTCAAGTTGTTGATTGCCCATTTCTTTCGCTTGGCTTTGTCACCGACTGCTGCGCCGGTTGCTGGGAATGTCATTCGTTCTGCAGTTGGTTCTCGTCTTCCCGACTCTGGTATGTGCCCTGCTCGTTGCTCATTTCTTTGTTCGACCTTGTTCCCGATTGTTCTCAGCAAGATTGTTTGCGCGGTTGCCGATCATGTCTTCATTTCGGCTTTATCTCGATTGCATGCAGCTCATGTGCATGTTGCTGATGCACAGGAGTTTCCCTGGCAATGCTTGTTTTGAAGAGGCTCCCACTTCGTGTCACAAGGTCGAGCTGCCCCATCTTGCCAAGACATCGCTTCAATCGGCCCTGCTCCCAACTGTTCCCAGCGCAGTCCTGCCCCCCGAGCCCTTCCTTTCCCCGATTCCCCGCAGTTGCTTCGCTCTCCGCTCGACCCCCGTGTGTGCACTCCACGCGTGCGAGTTGCAGTTCCCAAGGTTCACCAGCTGCTGGCTCAAAACACTGCATGATTCTTCTTTCCCAGATCACGCCGTTCACGCTGGCTGTGCACGTTGAGCCTCACTGCTGTCGTTCGCGCAGCGGCTAAACGATGAAGAAGGGCCACGGCGGGGGGTCGCAGCGCCCCACAGGAAGTTGACGACTAAAACTATAACTCCGATTCGTCGCCGTTGTCTTCGCCGGCGAGGCCAGCAGACCGCAGCCAGTGACCCAGACGAGAAGCAATGGCTTGTCCAATCATCCCTGCCCGATGGAGAGTTTCTCCGAAGGGCTTAGACGACACGTTCTCCTCCTCCTCCTTCTCCTCCTCTTCCTCCTCCTCCTCCTCCTCCTCCTCCTCCTCCTCCTCCTCCTCCTCCTCCCCCTCCTCCACCTCCAGCCCCGAGGGTGGGAGCCTGGCACCAGTTCTCATGGTGTCAGCGCCACACTCTTCGGGGCACACCGTCAGAGTCGACTGCATGTGGCGACTTGGGGCAGCTAAACCGGCTCGTGCCTTTTAAGACCAGCCGCGTGGCATTTGGCCCGTGGCAGCGGCGTTAGCCACGCTCCGTGACGTGGAGACGGGTACCAGGCACGGGGGATTGTGCATTTGGTTGAGCGGCGGGGCCATGTGGCCAGGAAGTCCCATGGTGGCCGTGTGCCCGCTCACCCTGGGAAACCAAAACCCAGTTGCGCATGCCAAGTGATTGGGCAGGGGTTGATAATCGGGAAGTGCCTCACAGTGACGAGGTGAACCGATCGTCCTCCTACGCACCACGCTCTCCCGGCTGGAGGCAAGTCGCTGGGCGACGAGGTAGCTGTTTATCCCTTGCTCGTCGGTGCGCGCGCCGTCGGGCCCGCTTCCTCCCGTACGGGGGAGGCCGGGGGTGCAGGTTGCTTGCCAGTGCGGTGGGCACCGTCCACTACCTGGACCCATGACTACATGACCCTTCCTCCATCTCCACCTCCTCCTCCTCCTCTTCCTCCTCCTCGTCATCCTCCTCCTCCTCCTCCTCCTCCTCCTCCTCCTCCTCCTCCTCCTCCTCCTCCTCCTCGGGTCGCCAACGGCCCCGGGGGAAACCGTGCATCCCTGCCCGATTGGTTTTTGAGCCGCTTGGTCGCATTAGGGTCCGCACTGAGGGATCCCGCACCGAGGGGCGAGAGGCGACATAGCTTCGCCGAAGAAGGGGGCACCGATAATCGCTTCCCGCGGTTGCTCCCTCCCCACCCTTCCTGGAGGAACGACTTGGGCTGCACGCACCTCAGCGAGGACGGGGTGCTCTCGACCGCGCGCTCGCTGGTGTCGACCGGCCTCCGCGACCTGGGCTACCGCTACGTGAACCTCGACGACTGCTGGCACCTGGCGGCTCTGAACACCCCAGGGCCCCGACGTTCGGGGCGCATGCACTTGTATGAACACAGACAAATCAATTCAGGCAAAGAACAAATCCGCATGCGCAGATCAAGTCAACATGGAGGAGGTCGAAGAAGGCAAGTCAACATACAGCAGACAGAAACGATCGGAGGTCCGCGCGGGTTTCCTAGATCGGAGGCGTGTCCTGAGGGCAACGGGTCCTGAGATCGTTCAGCCGTGTTCGGGCGCTGGGCTTTTCTGAAACCAGGAGGAATCTTTCCTGAGAGATCTTGATTTGAGGAGCCATGGGGGATGTTTAGCCATTCAGATGAATCGTTGGGTTCCTCTGGATTTGTCCTCGGTGTTCGGTTTTCCTCGGTTTGGGTTTTTCTTTGTGCGCCTGCGTTTTCCTCAGGGCCCCTCAGGACTCTTCAGGATTCCACAGACGTTCCTCGGAGCCCTGAGTCACTGTCCGTTGATCCTGGGCCTTGACAAGGGCCCCCTAGAGGCTAAAAGTGACAGCCACGTTCACCGCGATTCCACAATTCGCGGGGGTCTCGGAACGCTCCAGCGAAGAACCAGAATCAGCAGTTCTGGCCGCCCAGCCACGACCCCACGGGCCTCCATTATGATGGTGTTGGTGATGCTACGGATGTTGTCGTTAATGGTGTTGGTGACGACGGCGATGATGATGATGATGATGATGATGATGATGATGATGATGATGATGGTGATGGTGATGGTGACGGTGATGATGATGATGAGGATGATTATGTTGATGATGGTGATGGTGGTGATGATGATTATGATGATGATGCTGATGATGATGCTGATGATAATGATGATGAAGGCAACGACGCTGAAGACGACATGGCCGATGCCGATGCCGATGTCGATGACGGTGACGACGGTGACGGTGATGGCGATGACCATGGTGGTAGTGGTGATGATGTTGATGATGGTGGTGGTGGTGATTATGTTTATGCTGAGGTTGATGTTGATGTTCATGTGGATGGTGCTGTTGAGGATCGTAATAGTAATGAGGAGACTGCTGCTGGTGATGATGATAATGATGATGGTGGTGGTGGTGATGGTGAAGGTGATGGTGATGATGGTGATTGTGATGGTGATGATGATAATGGTGATGGTGATGGTGATGCTGATGAGGATGCTGCTGATGATGATGGTGATGGTGGTGATGATGATTATGATGATGATGCTGATGATGACGACGATGCGGACGCTGATGATGATGATGATGATGATGATGATGATGATGACGACGAGGACGACGATAACGGCAACGATAACGATGACGATGATAACGAGCATGATGACGACGATGCGGTGGGTGCGTAGAATGACTGCGGTGTTCGTGCTCGCCGGCCGCCCAGGCACGACCCGAGGGGCCGCGACCCGCAGACGGGGCGGCTCCGGGAGGACCCCGCCCGCTTCCCCTCCGGGCTCCGCGCGCTGGGCGACGCGCTGCACCGCATGGGCCTGAGGCCTGGGGACCGAAGACTTGGCATCGCTCGGGCGTGTGCATTTTTCTTTCGGCGAGGACCATCGAGGAGCATCCTTGATCGTTTGGCGAAATAACCACGCACGAAACCGAAAATTACCCCAGTGCGACCCTACCTAGAAGTTGGAGCCCCTAGGAAAGCAGCATTAGTTGCTATCCTATGCTATGCAATGCTATGCTTTGCTGCGCTATGCTATGCTATGCTATGCTATGCTATGCTATGTTGCGCTATGCTATGCTATAATATGCTACACTATGCTATGCTATGTCATGCTGCGCTGTGCTATGCTAAGCTATGCTATGCTATGCTATGAAAAGCTGCGCTATGCTATGCTATGCTGGGCTATGCTATGATATGCTGTGCTACGCTATGCTATGCTATGCTGTGCTCTGCAATGCTAAAGCTCAGCGAAGCTAGATGAAGGTAAGCTAAGCTAAGATAAACCTGAGCTAAGATGAAGCTTAGCTAAGCTAAGATGAACTAAGCTAAGCTAAGATGAGATAAGCAACACTAAGCTAAGGGGACATAACTGGGGGAACCGCGGGGCGGATCCTGGGGGAACCGCCCGGGGCGAGGCCCACTGCCCAGCCCCTTTAACATAGAGTGTAAGAACCCTTCTAGGCAGAGCCTAGGTAGGGAAAAACACAGGGAATGGACGTCCGAGCGACGGCAAGAAGAGGGCCTTCCGCATGGGCTTTGTGTCGGGGGCGTCCAAGAGGCGCGTGAGGACGATCTGGGTCTCCCGGATGGAGTCCAATGTCCGAGAAGATGGTTTCGGAGGATCGCGCCGCATTGCCGATGCATCGGAGATGAGGCTCGATGTGGAGCCCGATACTCTCCACACCGATGCTGATGGATTGGAAGCGAGTTGTCTTGGGCCATGTTGCTTGGATTGGAAGCGAGTTGTCTTGATGTTGGTGGCGGCAAGACTGGCCCAGATCCACAACGAATCGTTTTCAGGGCCAGCCGTGCTATATAATTTGGCATGCCGCGCACCCCTCGTGCAAGCAACAGGGGGCGACAGTTCGAAGACTCCGGCCTGTTTGAGAATCGCCTATGTGTCGAACCGTCAGAGAGAGTTGGGGCAGGTGTTTGGATTGCGCGCTCGTGGGGCCTCTTGGGAGCCTCTTGAGGATCTCTTGGTGCCCTCTGGGCGCGCGTGCTGCACCTCTTTGGCCGTTCTGGGACTATCTTAGGGCGCCTAGGGGTTTCCTTGGGTCGCTCTCAAGCCACCTTGGGGCGCTGAATGGCACAGCACGCCTTGATGGGAGCTACGGATGGCCCATGGTTCGTGTGAAAAGGAAGATATAACGCAGCAGGACGCTTCAAGACGGACCACGAGGAGCGTTGGAAGGCCAAGCCCCCCCAGATGCCCCGAGAAGGCTCAAGACGTTCCAGGATGGCCTTCAGACGGCCCAACAAGCCCCCACGATTCCATAGGGAGTGTCGGAAGGAGCGCCTTATTCTGTATATGTCCTCCGATGCCGAACGCTTTAGACTACAACCAGAGCTTTCCAGTACTTGAGCGCGCCCGAAGCGCGCGCGTGGTTATGTGTTGTGTGCTTTTTGCTTTATATTTATATATACATATATATATAATATATAGATGTATGCACATATCTCTCTCTATATATATATATATATATGTACACATACATATCGGAGTAGGTCGGGGGGAGGGCCCGGAGCCGCGAGCCCTGGTTTGCGTGGCGGTCCGACGGGGCCTTGAGGGTTCCAAGAGGGCCTGGATAGGGGCCCCGGAGCCCCCCAGAGGCCCCCAAGTTGGCCCAAGAGGCTCCCAAAGCGCCCCAGGCTGTCTGTCGGCGGCGAGCGAGGGGGGGAAGTGAGAAGGAGAACGGCTTCTCAGAAGGCGGTGGGACTTCTCAGAAGTCCTTGCGGCTTCTGAGAAGTTTTTGTTGTGTCTTCGGGGAAGATTTAGAAAACTTCTCAGAAGTCCGGGGGACTTCCGAGCCTTCTGAGAAGGCCCGCCCCTTCTCACTTCCCCCCCTGGCTCGCCGCCTAGTCTGGAAGATGGCTGCAGAGCGCACTGAGATGGCCTCCAGACGGCCCACGAGCGCTCGAAATTGGCCCAAGACTGCTCCTAGGCGGCCAGGAAGGCCCGCAAGACGATCCAAGATGCCGCCCCCCAAGGTTAAATATCAAGCCTATGGAACAACGCATCTGTTTAGAATCTTCGCTTGGTCAATCCCAACAGCAGCCGCGACGGCCCCAAAGGCTACCAAAATCAGCCCCCGACGGCCCAAGAGGCCCCTAAGAGGGCCCCAAGACGGCCTGAAGAGAGCTTCAAGCAGCACAAGTGAGCTCCAAGATGGCCCAAGAGAGTCTTCAGGGGGCCCGAGGGGGGCACCGGAGGATCCCTACATGGTCGGAGAAGGTCCCAAGGGGGCCCCAAGACCGCTCGCGCAGAGTGGCGCGGAGCATTACATTTGGGTCGCGCTGCGCGTCGGCCAGCCTGCGCCGGCGCAGCGCGCACCCCAGTGATACAACAAGCAACCCTGTGTCGCTCAGGTGCCGTCCGCTCGCGCAGAGTGGACGGAGCACGCGTTCACGTCGCGCTGCGCGTCGGCCAGCCTGCGCCGGCGCAGCGCGCACCTCAACGCTACAACAAGCAAGCCTGTGTCGCTCAGGTGCCGTCCGCTCGCGCAGAGCAGACGGAGCAATGCGTCTGGGTCGCGCTGCGCGTCGGCCAGCCTTTGCCGGCGCAGCGCGCACCTCAACGCGGCTCCCCATTACGGGCTAAGAGGGACCCGGGACGGCCGAACTGGGTCCCCAGACGGGCCACAAGAGCCCAAAAGGATTCCCAAGGAAAGGCCAAGAGAGTTTCCAGACATTTCCACAATTCTTCCCGAGGCTCCCGGGACGCATTACTGTAGACCGCCATGAGCGTATGTCAGGTCTCGTCCTTCAAGATCCATTTCAGGGCTTCCCGAGGCTCCACAGAAACATGCTGCGGGGCGCCAGGAAGTAACCAGAACACCCCGAAGTCACGGTCGAGGTCAGGGGTGTACCGCCATGAGCGGGAGGGCGGCCTACGTTTGCTTGCTGCCGGACTGTCGGTGGAGCTCCCGCTGTGACACGATCCGCGTGAGAAGTCGCCCTGGGGGGGCGTGATGTTATGCGAATCCTCCCACAGAGGGGCGCGTGCAACCGCGTCTTTCTGGCGCATAATCCGTGCGATGGGTGCGTTGAGATGGGCGGAGGGACGCCGTCGTGGCCGTGGGGTTCATTGCTTCCCTCGGGATTTCCCGGGGGTCTCCTCTGTGTCCTCTCGTCGTGGTAGTCGTGACAGGAGGAGGAGGAGGAGGAGGAGGAGGAGGAGAAGGAGGAGGAGGAGACGGAGGAGGATCAAAAGAGCGAGGGGAAGGATAAGGTGTGTCAGAAAAACTGCCAAACGGATAATTGGCTTGTGGCAGCCACGCGTTCGTAGCGACGTGGCTTTTTGATCCTTCGATGTCGGCTCCTACCATCACCGAGACGCAGAAACCCCAAAGTGTGAGCTCCAAGACGAACCAAGAGAGTCCCCAGGGGGCCCGAGAGGGCCACCGGAGGATCCCTACATGGTCGGCGAGGGCCCCAAGAGGGCCCCAAGATGAACACGGCTCCCCATGACGGGCCAAGATGGACCCGGGACGGCCGAACGGGCCCCCAGACGGGCCAAAAAAGGCTTCAAAGGACTCCCAAGGAAGGCCCAGAGAGTTCCCAGAGACCCCCACAAAGCTTCCAAAAAGGCTCCACGCGTCCCAGTAGGCCCCCATGAGCGTATAGAAGGTCTCGTGTTTGTTTCCTGCAAGGCCCATTTCATGGCTTCCCGAAGCTCCACAGAAACATGCTGCGGGGCGCCGGGAAGTAACCAGAACACTCCGAAGTCATGGTAAAGGTCAGGGGTGTACCGCCATTGGCGGGAGGGCGGTTTGTGCACGTTGGTTGTCGTATTGTCGGTGGAGCTCTCACTGTGACACGATCCGCGTGAGAAACCAAGTCGCCCTGGGGGGGCGTGATGTTATGCGAATCCTCCCACAGAGGGGCGCGTGCAACCGCGTCCTTCTGGCGCATAATCCGTGTGATGGGTGCGTTGAGAAGGGCGGAGGGACGCCGTCCTGGCCGTGGGGTTTATTGACTCCCTCGGGGTTTCCCGATGGTTTCTTCTCTGTCCGTCGTCGTCGTCGTCGTCGTCGTCGTAGTCGTGCCTGGAGGAGGATCAGGAGTAGGATCAGGAGGACGAGGAGGAGGAGGATGAGGAGGGGCGTCAGAACAATTACCACAGTGATAATTGACTTGTGGCAGGCACGCGTTTGTTGCGACGTGGCTTTTTGGTCCTTCGATATTGGCTCCTGCCACCATTGGGACGCAGAAGCCCCAAAGTGTGTGACTGTTCGCCCGAGAAAAGGGAACGTGAGCTGACCTTAAGCCGTCGTGAGACAGGTTCCTTTTACTTTCCTGGCGCACTCCGACGATGATGATGATGGTGATGATGATAACGATGATGATGATGATGATGATGATGATGATGATGATGATGATGATGAGGAGGAGGAGGAGGAGGATGATGATTATGATGATGCTGATGATGATGATTATGATGCTGATGATGATGATGATGATGATGATGATGATGATGATGATGATGATGATGATGATGATGATGATGATAATGATGATGAGGATGAGGATGAGGATGATGATGATGATGCTGATGATGATGATTATGATGATGATGGAAGAGGAGGAGGAAGGAGGATGATGGTCAGGATGACCTGGGCAGGGGCGGGGGCATGGTGCAGAGCGCGCTGGCGTGTGCCAACGTTGTTGACCCTGGCTGAGGTTTGGCATTTACACAGACCGCGGCAGCCGAACGTGTGCGGGCTTCCCTGGGAGCCTTGGGTACGAGGAGCTCGATGCAGATACTTTCGCAGAGTGGGGTGTGGATTACGTCAAGGAGGACAACTGCCATTCCAACACCTCCATGAGCGACCTCGGAACCACGTTCCAGCAGTTCGGCTTGTTGCGCGATGCCCTCAACCGCACCGGCCGCCCAATCTTCTTCTCAGTCTGTGGTGGCGGCGACCAGTATCCGATGGCGAACCTCTCCTACTACGCCACGGACCCGCGCGGGGGAGAAGCTCTGGCGAACTCTTGGCGCATCAGCTCGGACTGCATCGAGTGGCACACGTGCCAGAACGCGTATCAGGTCGCCGCCTCGCTGGGGAGGGCCGCGGGGCCGGGCGGCTTCAACGACCCGGACATGCTGCTGGGCTCTTCTGCGCACGCGGCGCCTCCGGCAAGAACCGTCCGACCCCCCCCCCCCCACCGCCAGCTCCTCGGGGTCCTCGACAGGAGGGGGGAGCTCCCGCTGCTATCAGCACCAGTCCAGCACGTCGTGGTCGGAACTTGGCATCGCTCGGTTGTGTGCACTTTTCCTTCGGCGAGGACAATCGAGGAGCATCCTTGACCATTTGGCGAAAAAAAAACACGCACGAAACCAAAACAACACAGGGAATGGACGTCCGAGCGATGGCGAGGGAAGAGGAGGCAGATGCCGAGGCCCGATGCCGTTGCCCGTCCCTCGTCGCCCCGGCTGGACCCGCCCCGTAATCTTGGTCTGAGCGCCCCCCCGCAGGGGTCCGAGGATGAGCGGTCTTGGTAATGCGGGATGACGATTAATAAAAAAATTGGGAACGAGTAAACAAATAGTTTCCTACTATTTCTGCATAATTTTCTGACTGGAGGAGAGAGATAAAAAATAGTTTTCCAGCCCGCGGCCGGTTTTTTCTAATCGTCATCCCGGGCGCCGCCGCGTGAACACGACCCCCGGTCATTTATCAATCGTTATCCTCCATTATCTTCTGGTCCCTCCCCAAGCACAGTCAAGCCGCATGGTAAGGATTAGCAATCTTCTACGGCTACCCTTGCATCCCTGACCCTTCGGCCCATCCTTGGCGACGTTCGCTGGCCAGCCCCTTTCGAAAACGCTAACGTGGCCCTCCAAGGCCCTGGCATCCTTACCACACCGTATTCGTCTCCTGCTCGTCTTTGCGACGAGTGAGTCTGTTTTCGTTGATTGGTACCCTCTTGTCCAAATTGGAAAACTAGCCTTCTACGTTATGGTATCTTTATTTGTTGACTCGTTCAATGTTCCTGGCGCTTCGGGATGTGCGACGATGATAATGATGATGGGGGGCACGAGTAGGATGAGGAGGAGGAGGAGGAGGAGGAACAGAAGGAACAGGAGGAGCAGGAGGAACAGGAGGGGCAGGAGGAGGAGGAGGAGAAGGAGGAGGGGAAGGAGGGGGAGGAGGAGCGAGAGAAGGATGTGGAGGAGGAGGAGGAGGAAGAAGAAGAGGAGGAGGAGGAGAAGGAGGGTGGCAGTATATACCCCCTGGACAGGCCACAAGTCTGGCCGCCGCGAGTCGGGACCTCACCCCCCTCCCCCTCCTCCAAGGCGCGCACGCTGTCGAGGGCGCGCAGCCGGACGCAGTTCGGCATCTGGTCCATCCTGATGGCGCCACTGCTGCTGGGCTCTCCGGTGGGCCGCCTGGACGAGTACGACCTCGAGACGTACTCCAACGCGGAGGTGCTGGCCGTGAACCAGGACGGGCCCAGTGGGGTGTCTGAGGGCCGAGGCCAGGCCAGGGCAAGAGCATCGAACATCCACGCCCTGGGGACGTCCACGCGGGGCGGGGGTTTTGCAGCCCGTGCCGGCAGCAAAAAAAGGCAGCGCCCCCCTCCACGCCTCCCCCCCCCCGCGCCGGCAGGTGCCCCCTTCTGACGAGGCTCGGAGGAGGATAAGCCCATTCTAAAGCGTTCCGGAACGCTCTGAGAAGGCCGCGGCGCCCGAGACATCTTCCAGAGCCGCATGATCTGATCTCACAGATTCTCGATTTATCCTCGTGCGAATTTGTCCTCGTCCTGGCTTCGTCTTAGCACACAGGGGGGCCTTCTGCTAGGGGGGGGGGGGAGCGCCACCCCCGCCGGCAAATCCCGAGCAACGCCGACCCCCGCCGCGGGCAACCACCGTTCGCGCAGAGACATGGATTCTCGAACCCCCCAGCACAGTGCGCCGACGTGGCGCAGATGGCCCCTGCCGGGGGGATGGCCCCCACACTTAGGGTAAGTAGACAGCCGCGCGCAGAGGGGTGGGCGGGGAGTGGACGTCCGAGCGATGGCGAGTAGAAGCCAACCCACCCCGAAAGTCCACGACCCCCCCGAATCCCCCGTTTAGGGGTGTACGGGTTCCGGTGTTTTCGCGATATTCCAGAACGCCCCTCCGCTGGGAGTTGGCAGGCCCAACGGCGACTTCGGGTTGGGTTGGGGTGGCTTGGTGGGTAATCAGAAGTTCAACCACGCGCAGAAGGGGGGTGGGGAGAGGGGGGAGGGCTTCTGAGAAGCACCCCTGCTTCTCAGAAGGCGCGGGCCTTATCTGTAGATATAGGGCTGGCGCCTTCCAAGAAACAGCGTCCTTTTTAGAAGCCTGCCCCCTCCCTCCACACCCTTGTGCGCGCCGCCAGAATATGGCGAAACGCATTGAAGGGCTTAGCTGATGTGCTAAAACGATGTTGCTTTCCGCTGCCACTTTTCCGGTGTTCGGCCAACCAAGACTGAAAGCAAACGGCAGCCCAACACATATACTGCAAACGGCAGCGCAACACGGCAATACTGACAACGCAACACGCCAGCGCAAACGACAGCGCAACACTGCAACGGGCGAGAATCGTGAAATGGAGAAGCCATTCGCCCCCGAACGAGCAACCAGACACGCCTGCCCAAAGACCGAGAGCACGCGGACCCCCGGCGCTTCTGACACCAGCTGGGTCCACTGGCGTCAAGTCGGGCCCGTCCCTCTACAGGAGGAAGGTCCAAAAACAGCCAAAAAATAATATGGGACGATTTTTTGAGTATTTTTGTTTTGCCATGTTGGAGCTTTCTTTTTTGCGTATTTTTATGCTCTTCGCCGAAGATCCCCCTGCAGGGTGCCGCTGCGGGCCGCGAGCGCCGCCGTGCCCCAAGCCCGCCGCCCGCCTCCCTGCGGGGCGGGAGCCGCCCGGGGGAGAGCACGGCGCCCCGCCCCGCCGCCCCGCCCGCCCGGAGCCCCCTCTCGAGCCAGGGGGAGAGCGGCTGCAGAGCTGCAGAGTTCGGATTTTGCGGAGGCCTTACGGCAGGACGGAAAAGACACACACAGACACAATTAATCGACGATCCCCAGAAGATACGGGAAACTATGGGAGCTGGAGGGAAGACAAAAACCCAGAGCATACCATTCGGGAAAACATGGGGAATATTTTTATTTATGTGTAGTTATTTGTGTGCCCTGGGGCCCCTTCATTACGGCAGGGGCACAGGTATAGGGGGGGGGGGACAGACATAGGGGGGGATGCATCGACCCCCAATCGCCCATTGATCGCCGATTGGTGCCCGATAGCCCCAACCTGCCCGTACAGGTGCGGATTCACGATCGGAGGTCTATCGCCGATCTATCGGCGATGTATCGCCGATTCCAGGTCGATGCATCCCCCCCTATGCCGGTCCCCCCCGATCGTTGCCCCTCATTACGGCCAGTGCCGCCGCCCTTGAAGGGGGACGACGACGACGACAGCGGCGGCGACGACGCTGACGGGGGGCCAGAGTCGTCAGGGATGCTTCTTGGGGTCCCCTCGGAAGACCCTCGTGGGCCTCTGGGGAGGAATTATGGGGGGCCTCTCGGGGGCCTCTTGGGGCCTCTTGGGAGCCTCTTCGGGCTTCCTGGGGACATGTTGTGGGCCTCTTGGGGCCTCCTGGGAACCTCGTGCGGTCGGCTACACAAGTCGGATCTACCCCAAATCTGCGTTTTCGCCGAATCGGCACCAAATTGATAAAGCCTCCGTAGATCGTAGATTCGACAACCACGTTCTGCATGTCTGATAGATTCCACGAACAACTCATGAATCCAGGGTCAACCAATGCTGCAGTCGATCCCCTATTCGAACCTGCAGTGGCCCGATGCTGGGGTTTCTCATGTCCACCTAGTTTAGGACCAACTTCCAACGGAAGGCAAACACATCCATACCCGCTGCCTCGTGGGACCCTGGGCGAGCGAATTCCAAAGGTGCATGAGTATGAACCCCGACCTGACAAGTGGCATGATCGAAGAAGACGCAACGGCAAATACGTAGAAGACGCAACGGTAAATACATGAACTTTCGAAGGTCAGCGCGGATGTCCTCGATCTGTGTTGGGCCCCACGGCGCGCTCCGCGCGCCAGGGAGGAAGTCCAGCGCTGGATCTTCGGCAGTTTGTGCCTCTGGCGACTTCTCTTCTGTGCCGGGCTGCCTCTCAGAGTTGCCGTTGCTGGGCCTCCTGGCCAGCCCAGCAGGACGCGCTGGCGCGGCAGGGCAGGCTTCTCACGCCGGTCGGCGCCTGGCAGTCCGTCTGGGCGCGGGAGCCGGGGAGGGACGTAGAGGAGAGGTGGGGGGGGGGGAGGGGAGAGGGGGAGCAGAGGGGAGAGAGGGGGGGTAGAGGGGAATGGGGGAGCAGAGGGGGGATGAGGGGATGAGGGGGTAGAGGGGAGGTGGGGGGGCAGAAGGGAGGGTGGGGGATGGAGAGGATGGGGAGGGGGAGGGAAGGGAGGCACCCGTGCGAGCGGAAAACCGTGAGCTGGCCCGAGGGCGCTTCGGAGTGCATCACGTTTGAGGCCAAAGCTGAAGGCTTGGCATCGCTCGGACGTGTGCATTCTTCTTTCGGCGAACACCATCGAGTAGCATCTTTGATCATCTGGCGAAAATACCACGCACGAAACCGAAAAAAAAACACAGGGAATGGACGTCCAAGCGATGGCGAGGAAGGGGGAGGCAGGGAGGAGGAGAAGGGGGGGGGTAGAGAGGAGGGGCAGGTGTGGGGGTCGGGAAGGCGGACCCCCGCTCCCTCCCCCTCCCCTGCCCCTCCCCTGCCCCTCCCCTCCGCGGTCCCCTCCCCACCCCGCAGGTTTGCATTCCACCTGGCATCGCTCGGACGTGTGCATTGTTTTCCCTCGGCGAGGGCCATCGAGGAGCATCCTTGCTCATTTCGCGAAAAAACCACGCACGAAACCGAACAAAAACACAGGAAGTGGACGTCCGAGCGATGGCCAGTTCCAGGGAACCTTGTCGTTCTGATCGGTTCGACTTCATCTTATGGTCTCGGCCAGCCCCGACCGATCCGATCCCGATATCCCGGCCGCCCGATGCGGCCCCGATGCTCGCGCGGCGTTGCTTCAGGAGGAGAAACAACACACAGACACAATGAATCGTCGATTCCCAGGAACATATGAAAAATATTGGAAGTGGGGGGGAAGACAAAAACCCAGAAAATATTGGAAAATATAGGGGAATCTGGTTATTTGTGTGTGCATTCATTTGTGTGTCCCAGGGCCCCTTCATTGTTCTGCATCCTACCGCGGCCGATCTGATTCGATCTCGACTCCAGGCCCGCCCGATCCGATGCACAGTCCGAAACGGTCCGATGTCCCGTTTCTGTGCTGGCTGATCGTGGACTTTGCCGATTCAATGTCCAGGCCCAGCTGCTCGAGGCAAATCAGGGTGTCAGTACCGCCCGGCCCCCACCGAGCTCAAGCAGAACTCTGCAGTTCCTCCCCAGGCCGCCTACGTCGTGGAGGTCGGGAGGCATCAGACCTCTCAGCTGCTCCTTCTCCTCTGCCCGCTACCCCTCCGCCCCAAGGAGCTCCTGGGTGGGGACTGGGCACTGCTGCTGCAGAGCGACCACTGGTTCTCGATCGCCGAGGTCGCCTGCGACGCCTCCTGCTGGGCCCAGCTGGGGATCGCGAACGGCACTGCCTTCGCGGCGATCGGGAGAATTGTCAGCCATGGTTCGTTGGCTGCGGATACCACAGTTTCCAGAGGTTCCTGGCAGTCTCCACCACTTCTAGGCAGTCAGACGGTGTGTGTGTGTGTGTCTGTGTGTGTGTGAGTGTATGTGCTTGTGTGTTTGTGTGTGTGCGTGTGTGTGTGTGTGTGTGTGTGTTTGTGTGTGTGTCTGTGTGTGTGGGTGGGTTGGTGGGTGGGTGGGTGGGTGGGTGGTGTGTGTGCGTGTTTCTCAGCAGTCGCCAGCATTATGCTGCGGCGGTGGCTTTGGACGCGTCCTAGTTGCCGCCAGTTCCTGATGTCTAATGACAGATGGCACGAGGGTTAAGAGCAACCCTAAACCCTAGCGTTGGAAGGACACCCATTTGTTACTCCAGAGGGCTTCCGCCATCCCGTCGACCCCAAGAAGAGGCGATGAACGGCTCACGGTTGGGTTCGGTGGGGGCGTTCGCTAAGGAAGGTGCCCAGGAGGTTTCCGACACGGGAGGGTTCCTTATTTGATGGGGGCGGTGGCATCCATGGCCAAGCCTCCATTATGTGTTGTTTGCCGTCTTCCGTCGTGCTGCTTGTGCGGTAAGTGTTGCTGCTACGTGCGTAGTTGCTGTTGATTCGTTTTCCTCTCCCTCCGCGTCTGTTTCGGGGCTTCTTGGGTGCCTCTTGGAAGCCTCTGGGGCGGCCTCGTGGAAGCCTCTTCAGGGCTCCTGGAGGCTCCAGGAAGCCCTCGGGGGGCCCTTTTGGTGGCATGGCATGTTGGGTGTCTTGGGCCTCTCTTTGGCAACTGTTGTGGCCCTGTTGGTTACTGCTTGGCCGTCCTCGGGGCCTCTTTGGCAGTCTTGCGGCCCTCTCGGGATGTCTCTGGGCCCTCTTGGGAGCCTCCTGAGCCGTCTTGAACAGGTCTCGGGGGCTTCTCGTGCCGTCCTGGGCTGCCAGAAAAACCAGGAAAATCAAGAACGCAAAAATCAGTCCAAGGCCATGTGAACACCGATGATGTGTGCCTTCGAGGCCCCTCTTGGGAGTTCTCTTGGGGCGCTCCTGGGGCGTTTTCCAGACCTCTTTGGCCGTCTTTGGGCTATCTTGAATGTTCGTGAGGCATCGCTGGCGTAATGGATCCTTTGTTGCGCCATCTTCGAAGACACATTGCGCATCTCGGAGGCTATCGAGCGTGGATTTGGAGGCTCCGACGCCCCCGAAGGTGCTTTGGGGAGCTCGTGCGCTCCCTTCCCCCTACCCCCCCCCCATCAAACAGGGATTTTGGACCCCAGGGGAGGGGGAACAGGAAGGGGGACAGCTAGTCATCTGACACTCTTCTGGTTCCCACCTGGTGGACTGCATCTCACACTTTGGAGGTCACGGGCCTCGGCTTCGACGATGATGCCGCCAGGTCCGCGTCCCCTGTGGTACAGTCGGGGCCCTGAAGACCCTTTTCGTTGGGGAGGGGCTCGGTGTTCCTTGATTGTTTCACAGCTTGCCTCAGGGTTTCCTGATGTTTTCGATACGAAATCGAAGTTTAACTTATGGAAAAAAGGGGCCTCGCTCCTTATTTAGGGTTCCTTAGGTCAGCGTCCCTTGTGGTAGCACGATGACTGCAGCCGTCACCGCGGGGCCGCCTGGGAGAGCCCCCAGGGGGCGGGCCGTGCGCAGGTTGCGGTGCTCCTGGGTCGCCCTGCGGGGCTCCAGGGCGTCCTTTGGGGTTGGCGGGTTCGGCGCCGCTCGCGGGGGGGCCGCCGCCGCTCGGGGCAGCGGCAGCGGCCGGCTCCCAGCCGCAGCGGGCCGCAGATCCCCCCCCCTCGAAGAGGCCTCCCCTCCTCCTCCTCCTCCTCCTCCTCCTCCTCCTCGTCCTCGGGTTCCTCCTCTTCGTCCTCGTCCTCCTCGTCCTCCTCGTCCTCCTCCTCCTCCTCCTCCTTCTCCTCCTCCTTCTCCTCCTCCTCCTCCGAGAGAGAGAGGCCTCCCCTCTTCTTTCCTCCTCCTCCTCCTCTTCCTCCTCCTCCTCGTCGTCCTCCTCCTCTTCCTCCATGCCTTGTCCTTCTAGATAATTTCTCCCTGTCGCACCCCGAGGCCAGTTTTTTGAGCGGGCCAGGCGTTTCGCATGAGACGTCCTCACCATTCATGAGTCTGGAGCTTAAACATTGGCAACAGTTCCACGAATAGAGTGCGGGTCGTTTTCAAATTGTGGCTCTCGCATTAGCGTGGCGCACATTCGTTTTAAACAGTTGCTTTCAACATGTGGTTTTCGTTTTAGCGCCGCGCACATTCGTTTCCAAAAAATGCCAGAGCTTCACGGATTGAGGGCGGGTCGTGTTCAAAATGTCGTTCTCGCCTTCGCGCCGCGCACATTCGTTGCAAATTGTTGCAAGGGTTTCACGGAGTGAGGGCGGGTCGTTTTCAAAATGTGGTGTTCTCTTTAACGCCGCGCACATTCGCTTACAAAGTGTTCAAGGGTTCCACGAAATCCCATCATCAGCTTAGCAGAAATCGAGTTTCGGAAGGGTTCAGGATCATGCTGGTGCAACAGTAACGTTATTTCTCTGTGCTGAAGTGGCGTGCTGGCACGATTCAGGATCACCAAGACGAAACAGTCAGGTTGTTCGGTGGCGTTGGAATCCCGAGAATAATGTTTTGGCATGCGTCAGGGTCTTCAAACGGGTGTCTTCCAACGAGGCACTTCCATCAATGGAATTAAGCCGCTGTAGGGGTCTATGAGAGGGAGCTTGGACGGAGAGATTATTCCAACATCCTTATGACTTTTGGGTTTACACTGGTCCTCCTCCCCCTCCTCCCCCTCTTCCTCATCCTCTCCTCCCCCTCCTACTCCTCCTCCTCCTCCTCCTCCTCCGCCTCCTCCTCCGAGAGAGGAGAGAGAGAGAGAGAAGCCTCCCCTCTTCCAAATCCTCATCCTCTTCCTCCTCCTCCTCTTCCTCCTCATCTACCTGGCCCCCTCCTCCGCCTCCTCCTCCTCCCCCGGGAGAGCGAGAGAGAGAGAGAGGTGTCTCCCCTCCTCTTCCTCCTCGTACTCGTTCTCCTCCTCCCCCTCGTCCTCCTCCTGCTGCTATTCCTCCTCCTCATCCTCCTCCTCTCCCCATCCTCCTCCTCCTCCTCTTCTTCCTCCTCCGACAGAGAGAGAGAGGCCTCCCCTCTTTTTCTTCCTCCTCCTCCTCATCGTCCTCGTTCTCGTTGTCGTCCTCCTCCTCCTCCTCCTTCCCCTCCTGCTCCTCCTCGTCCTCCTCCTCCCCCTGCTCATCCTCCTCCTCCTCCTGCTGCTCCATCCCCTCCTCCCCCCTCCTCATCATTCTCCTCCCCACTTCCTCCTCCTCCACTTCCTCCACCTCTTTCTCTTCTCCTCCTCCTCATCCTCCTCCTCCTCCGAGAGAGGGGGGGGGGGGCTCCCCCTCTCTTCCTCTTCCCTCCTCCGCCTCCTCCTCCTCGTCCTCCTCCTCCACTTCTTCTCCCTCCTCTCCTCCTCCTCCTCCTCCTCCTCCTCTCCTCCTCCTCTCCGCCTCCTCCTCCTCCTCCTCCTCATCCTCATCCTCGTCCTCCTCCTCCTCCTCCTCCTCCTCCTCCTCCTCCTCACCTCCCCCTCCTCCTCCTCCTCCTCCCCTTCCGAGACAGAGAGAGAGGCTTCCCCCTCTTCTTCTTCTTCCTCCGCCTCCTTCGAGAGAGAGGGAGAGAGAACCAAATAAAGGGAGACACAGAGAGAGAGAGAGAGAGGCCTCCTCTCTTCCTCTTTCTCCTCGTCCTCGTGCTTCTCGCTATCCCTCTTCTCCTTCTCCTATTCCTCCTCCTTCTCCTCCTTCTCCTCTTCGTCCTCCTCTCGTTCTCCTCCTCGTCCTCCCCCTCCTCGTCCCCCTCGTCCTCCTCCTCCTCCTCCTCCTCCTCCTCCTCCTCGTCCACTCCCCCCCTTTCCTGCGGCGGCCGATTGGGGCCCTCCTCGGCCAGGTGAGGGACCTGTGGCTCAACGGGCCCGCAGAGCGGCCCGTCGCCGTGGCGGGCCAGGCGAGTCGAGCAAGAACGCACCTGCCCTTCCCACCTCCCTCTACGCGGCGACCCGCCTGGGGGAGGAGGAGGAAGAGGAGGAGGAGGAGGAGGAAGAGGAGGAGAAGGAGGAGGAGGAGGACGAGGACGAAGACGAAAACGAATAATAGTAATACGAAGAAAACGAACAAGGAGGATGAGAAGGAGATGGATAAAAGCAATAGTAATACTGATGATAATTATGCTAACGGAGTTCCCCACATAAAGAGATTACCGGTTTCGTGGGACCCATTTTGTTGATGCCCTCCTCGCTTTGGCGGGGCCCCGCTGGAAGGGGGGAGGGCTACGAAACCTGGCGAAGAGTAATGCTTTCCGCGACCCTCCTCGTTCAAGCGCGGCCTCTCTGGAGGAGTGGAGGGGGGACACGAAACCGTGTAAACAGCATGTTTTCCGATACCCTCCAGGAAGAGGAGGAGGAGGAGGAGGAGGAGGAGGAGGAAGAGGATAAGATGGATGATGGCGAAGAGCAGCAGCAGGAACCGCAGCAGGAGCAGCAGCGGGAGGTTGGTTTGAGTGGTCTCATTTTCCTCGTGAGGTCCGATTCGTGAGGTTGGTCTGAGTGGTCTCATTTCCCTCGTCCAGTCGAGGTTATACAAGAAGGTGGGCGACACGAGTTCGCTAGACGAAAGCACTTGCCGAGGTGTCTGGTAACTACAATTCGAACGCAGACACTGATCGGCCAAGAGCGGTTTAAAAGACTGCCAATAATCTCCCAAACAATGTATCGCTGCATTATGGTTTTGTGCACACGGCGTTAACCTACTAGCCTGACTGTACTCGGGCCGACGCGTGGGGGGCTTCTCTTAAGCCCACGCGGAGTGCTATTTAATCGCAGCCACTGCAGTGAAGACCGATGGTAGTACGATTCCAAGTCACCTCCACCTGCTGCAACGCAAGCGCCGCTACACCAGCAGACCGAAGCAGCGGGGGCGACCAAATGATGGTTTTGTCTCCCTGGAGAGGTGGGATGCTTCCCTGGGAGTGGTGGGATGGGGCACGAAACCATGTAAATAGTATGGTTTTGCCTCCCTGGAGAGGTGGGATGGGGCACGAAACCATGTAAATAGTATGGTTTTCGGAGACCCTCCTCGCTCAGGCGGCGCCTCCCTGCAGGGGTGGGAGGGGCACGAAACCATGTAAATAGTATGGTTTTCGGATACCCTCCTCGTTCAGGCGGGGCCTCCCTGGAGAGGTGGGAGGGGCACGAAACCATATAAATAATATGGTTTTCGGATACCCTCCTCGCTCAGGCGGGGCCTCCCTGGAGGTGTGGGAGGGGCACGAAGCCATGCAAATAGTATGGTTTTCGGATACCCTCCTCGCTCAGGCGGGGCCTCCCTGGAAGGGTGGGACGGGCACGAAACCATATAAATAGTATGGTTTTCCGATACCTTCCTCGCTCAGGCGGGGCCTCCATGGAGGGGTGGGAGGGGCACGCAACCATGTAAATAGTATGGTTTTCGGATACCCTCCTCGCTCAGGCGGGGCCTCCCTGGAGGGGTGGGAGGGGCACGAAACCATGTAAATAGTATTGTTTTCCGATACCCTCCTCGCTCAGGCGGGGCCTCCCTGGAGGGGTGGGAGGGGCACGAAACCATGTAAATAGTAAGGTATTCGATACCCTCCTCGCTCAGGCGGGGCCTCCCTGGAGGGGTGGGAGGGGCACGAAACCATGTAAATAGTATGGTTTTCGGATGCCCTCCTCGCTCAGGCGGGGCCTCCTTGGAGGTGTGTGAGGGGCACGAAACCATGTAAATAGTATGGTTTTCCAATACCTTCCTCGCTCAGGCGGGGCCTCCCTGGAGGGGTGGGAGGGGCACGAAACCATGTAAATAGCATGGTTTCCGATACCCTCCTCGCTCAGGCGGGGCCTCCCTGGAGGGGTGGGAGGGGCACGAAACCAGGTAAATAATATGGTTTTCCGATACCCTCCTCGCTCAGGCGGGGCCTCCCTGGAGGGGTGGGAGGGGCACGAAACCATGTAAGTAATATGGTTTTCGGTATGGAGTGGTATGGAATGGTATGGTAGGTATGGTATGGTACGGTATGGTATGATATGGTATGGTATGGTACTGGAGGTATGGTATGGTATGGTACGGTGTGGCATTGGTGTGATATGGTATGGTATGCTATGGTACGCCATGGTATGGTATGGTACGGTATGGTACGTATGGTGTGGTATGGTATGGTATGGTATGGTATGGTATGTGTGGTAGGAACTATGGTATGGTATGGTGTGTGTGGTAGGAATAATATTGTGATGTATGGAAGATGGAGCGGGAGGTGGGTGGGAAGGAGAGGGTGTTCTGGGAAAACAAGAACCCCATTCAGGATGTGGGGAATAAAAAGAATTATGCTAACGGAGTTCCCCACATAAAGAGATTAACGGTTTCGTGGGACACATTTTCTTGATGCCCTCCTCGCTTTGGCGGGGCCCCGCTGGAAGGGGGGAGGGGCACGAAACCATGTAAATAATATGGTTTTCGGATACCCTCCTCGCTCAGGCGGGGCCTCCCTGGAGGTGTGGGAGGGGCACGAAACCATGTAAATAGTATGGTTTTCGGAGACCCTCCTCGCTCAGGCGGGGCCTCCCTGGAAAGGTGGGAGGGGCACGAAACAATGTAAATAGTATGGTTTTCGGATACCCTCCTCGCTCAGGCGGGGCCCCCCTGGAGGTGTGGGAGGGGCACGAAACCATGTAAATAGTATGGTGTTCGGATACCCTCCTCGCTCAGGCGGGACCTCCCTGGAGGGGTGGGAGGGGCACGAAACCATGTAAATAGTATGGTTTTCTGAGACCCTCCTCGCTCAGGCGGGGCCTCCCTGGAGGGGTGGGAGGGGCACGAACCATGTAAATAGTATGGTTTCCGATACCCTCCTCGCTCAGGCGGGGCCTCCCTGGAGGGGTGGGAGGGGCACGAAACCATGTAAATAGTATGGTTTCGGATACCCTCCTCGCTCAGGCGGGGCCTCCCTGGAGGGGTGGGAGGGGCACGAAACCATGTAAATAGTATGGTTTCCGATACCCTCCTCGCTCAGGCGGGGCCTCCCTGGAGGGGTGGGAGGGGCACGAAACCATGTAAATAGTATGGTATTCCGATACCCTCCTCGCTCAGGCGGGGCCTCCCTGGAGGGGTGGGAGGGGCACGAAACCATGTAAATAGTATGGTATTCCGATACCCTCCTCGCTCAGGCGGGGCCTCCCTGGAGGGGTGGGAGGGGCACGAAACCATGTAAATAGTATGGTATTCCGATACCCTCCTCGCTCAGGCGGGGCCTCCCTGGAGGGGTGGGAGGGGCACGAAACCATGTAAATAGTATGGTTTGCGGATACCCTCCTCGCTCAGGCGGGGCCTCCCTGGAGGGGTGGGAGGGGCACGAAACCATGTAAATAGTATGGTTTCCGATACCCTCCTCGCTCAGGCGGGGCCTCCCTGGAGGGGTGGGAGGGGCACGAAACCATGTAAATAGTATGGTTTTCGGATACTCTCCTCGCTCAGGCGGGGCTCAGGCGGGGCCTCCCTGGAGGGTGGGAGGGGCACGAAACCATGTAAATAGTATGGTTTCGGATACCCTCCTCGCTCAGGCGGGGCCTCCCTGGAGGGGTGGGAGGGGCACGAAACCATGTAAATAGTATGGTATACCCTCCTCGCTCAGGCGGGGCCTCCCTGGATGGTGCTATGGTACGCCATGGTATGGTATGTACGGTATGGTACGTATGGTGTGGTATGGTATGGTATGGTATGGTATGGTATGTGTGGTAGGAACTATGGTATGGTATGGTGTGTGTGTGTGGTAGGACTAATATTGTGCTGTATGGAAGATGGAGCGGGAGGTGGGTGGGAAGGAGAGGGTGTTCTGGGAAAACAAGAACCCCACTCAGGATGTGGGGAATAAGAAGGAGAGGAGGACGAGGTGGAGGAGAGGGATACGATTCATGATAAGAAGAAGAGGAAGAAGAAGAAGAAGAAGAAGAGGAGGACGAGGTGGAGGAGGTGGAGGGGGAGGGGGAGGGGGAGGGGAGGTGGAGGAGGAGGAGGACGACGAAGAGGAGGAGGCGGAGGAGGGGAGGGGGAGGGGGAGGAGGAAGGAGGAGGACGAGGAGGAGGAGGAGAAGAAGGAGGAGGAAGAGGAGGAGGAGGAGGAAGAGGGTGAGGAGGAAGAGGGGGAGGAGGAGGGGGAGGAGGAGGGGGAGGAGGAGGAGGGGAGGAGGGGGAGGAGGAGGAGGAGGAGGAGGAGGAGGAGGAGGAGGAGGAGGAGGAGGAGAGGAGGAGGAGGAGGAGGAGGAGGAGGAGGAGGAGGAGGAGGAGGCAGAGGAGGAGGAGGAGGCAGAGGAGGCAGAGGAGGAGGAGGCTCAGGAGGAGGAGGAGGAGGAGGAGGAGGAGGAGGAGGAGGAGGAGGAGGAGGAGGAGGAGGGGGAGGCAGGCCGTCTCAGAAGGCGCCGGGGCTTTTCAGGAGCCCCCGCGCGCTCCGAGACGTTTTCTGTGCTGCGGGGAAGGCCCGCCCCCTCTCACTGTCCCTCAGGTCTGGCCGCCTACCCACGGCAGGCACACGTCGCGTCGACGCGCGAAGGCCAGGGCGCGGGCGTTCGGGGTGGAGCTCCGCCAGTGACCCCGGGACCGGCAGATGTTCAGCGATCCAGCAGTCGCGGACGTTCAAGGTTCAACGATCCATGCGGTGCCAGAAGCCAACACGCAGGTCGTCACGGCACGAAGCTGCGGCACCCTTCCACTCTTCCAGCCCCCTCCCCTTTTGCACCTTCACAGCAGAGGCTTGAAGACAAGGGCCAATTTGGATTCAGTAGGGGTTCGGGTCTTCCGGCGGTTCCTAAGATCCAGGTCGGGGGACTTATTCGTGGCCGAGGCTCGCCGTGACCAGAAATACAAGCCCCTCGTATCTTCACTCGGGGAACAATTCGTGTCCGAGGTTCGTTGCGGCGAGATCGAACATGTTTGTCGATCATGATCTGGCGTTCCTCCTGGTAGCAAGGTGACCGTACCTCTGCCCTCCTCCAGGGACTCCAGAGAGCCTTCCCTCCCATCCTCGTCCCTACCTGCGTGCCTGCGGGTGGACTTCCGCTGGTGCCAGGGCTGTCGACGCGGAGTGGTCACGTCATGAGCATCGCCATCGTCATTTCGTCTGCCGCGGGACTGTTGAGTTCTGCCGGCACGTTGCGGTTGGGTGGGTGGGACTTTTGCACGGGCACTGGAGGTGGCCGCGTTCGGATGCCAGTCACGTGATTTGCACCATAGATAGATACACGCATTCCTGTTTTTATATTTGTATTACCCAGACCCCCCCCCCTGACCTGGACCCCCCCCAGGGACGCCCTGGACGCTCTTGCAGACGTCTCAGCGGCCCCCTGGATACCCTTGGAAAAGGTCCGCTGGCCCTCCTGGGCCTCCTAGGGCGCCTTGGGCCTGGCAATCAGACTCAAGGCGATCAGCGGGGTCATCGGAGAGGCGCAAGAGAGACCCAAAACAGCACAAGAGCGCTCCAAGAGGAACCTCGATGTTCTGAACACGGCCCAGGAGGCCCCCCCAGACGCCCCAAAAGGTTGTTAAGAGAGCCCCGAAGAAGCAAACATCGTCCCGTTCCTTTGGGAAAATGTATAAGGTTAACATATCCGCTGTCTGGGGCTTCGCAGCGTCCAAGACGGCCCGATGGGCCCCCGATATCGCCCCAGGACGGCCCAAGAGGCCCCCCAGAGGGTTTGAAGACGGCCTAAGAGGGCCCCGGTACTGTCCCAGAGAGCCCCGAGACTGCCCGCAAGAAACCCAAGATGCCCCTAGAAGGCTCCCAAGAGAAACCCACGAAAGCCATGGGAGACCCCCAAGAAAGCCATTGGAGGCCCCCTAGAGGGCCCGAGATGGTTTCAGAAGACCGACCTCTGGAGGCCCCAGCTCCCCAAGACGGCCCAAGAAGGCCTCGGGACGGCCCGAGAGGGCCCCAGGACGCCCTAGACTCCCAGACGGCGTTTTCCTACAAAGCACATCGAGCTGACCCGACGATGTTGTTTCCACGCTGGAGGCTCGAGGCATAAGTTCCTCGATCGAAAGAGAGAGGCAGGCAATGGACCGAGATTCGAAGTTCGACGATCGACGATTTCCTGAGTGCCTGGAGCCCTCCAGGTATGCAGGAAGCTACCAAACATCGATTTGTTCGGAACTACTGCGACTTATTCGGCGTGTCATGGGAACGCCCCTTACTTCCTCAAAGGACCTTCGCGCGTGACAGAATTCAGCATTCCTCCCCACTCTGGCGCACAAGCGTGCAAGCGCATCGGGCGAACGCGGTGTCAGCAGGCACCAGGGATATCAGAAAAATGAGCCTGTCGCCCGTCCAGGCTTCGAGGTCCCCCCCGCTGAAGCAAGCGATGATGTATTGCTTTGCGGGGGAGGGCCCGGAACAAAGCGCATGGCGCGAAGCGCCACTGCAGTCTTGCATGCATATACATATGTATATTTGTGTATATATATATATATATATATATATGTGTGTGTGTGTAGACCAGGGGGGGGGGGGGGGGGGGGGGGCAAAAATCGGTGCCGTCATCCCCCATGGCTGCCCCCCCGAACCTTAAGGGTGGTCACAAACCCCCCAGGACTGCCCGGGGCCGCTTCCAAATAGCCCACGACAGGCCACGCGGGCCGTACAGATGGTCAAGAAATCCTGAAGAGGCCTCAAGAGGCCCGGCGCCCAAGAGCGCCCCAAGAGGGCCCGTGAGGGCCCCAAGATTGCCTTCAAGAGGCAAAAACCGGCCCATTGCTTTTGTAAAACGTACATATTCGGCATACGCGTTGGCTTCGGCTTCGCAGTGCCCCAGACGCCCCCGCGGAGCCCCAAGACAGCCCAAGTGAGACCCAAGAGGGCCCAAGACGGCCCAAAAGGGTCGGCCTGTGGGCTCACGGAACCCCCCAAGACGGCCCAAGAGGCCCCGAAGCCGGCCCAGGAGGTCCCCTCTTAAGACGGCCTCAGGGAAGCCCAAGAGGGCCCCGTTCGAAATCATGTTTTCGGAAGCCTCTCCGGGAACATGACTTCCGGGCTCCCAGGGCCCCCATATTGGGCCCCAGGACAGCCTCAGCGAGGCCGAAGAGGGCCCCAACAGGTCCTTCAAGAGGCAAAAATCGGCCCAATCCCATCGAAAAACGTACATTTTCGGCATACTCGCTGGCTTCGGCTTCACAGAGCCCCAGACGCCTGCGCGGAGCCTCAAGACAGCCCAAGACAGCCCAAGAGAGACCCAAGAGGGCCCAAGACGACCCAAAAAGATCGCCCCGTGGGGCTCACGGAACCCCCCACGACGGCCCAAGAGGCTCCGAAGCCAGCCCAGGAGGTCCCCTCTTAAGACGGCCCCCCACGACGGCCCAAGAGGCTCCGAAGCCAGCCCAGGAGGTCCCCTCTTAAGACGGCCTCAGGGAGGCCCAAGAAGACCTCGTTCGAAATCATGTTCCCGGAAGCCTCTCCGGGAACATGACTTCCGGGCTCCCAGGGCCCTCTAGAGGGCCCACAAGACAGCCTCAGCGAGGCCCCGGAGGGCCCGAGATGGCTTCAAGATGGCCGAAGATGGCCCCAAGAGGGCCTTCAAGAGGCAAAAATCAGCCCGTCCCCGTAGTGAAACCTACATTTTCAGCATATTCGCTTGCTTCGTCTTCGCAGTGCCCCAGACGCCCCCGAGCAGCCCCAAGACAGCCCAAGAGAGACCCAAGAGGGCCCAAGACGGCCCAAAAGGGTCGTCCTGTGAGCCTGACGGGAACCCCCAAGACGGCCCAAGAGGCCCCAAAGCCAGCCCAGGAGGCCCCCAAGACGGCCTCAGGGAGGCCCAAGAGAGCCTCGTTCGGAATCATGTTCCCGGAAGCCTCTCCGGGAACATGATTTCCAGATTCCCAGGACGCCCAAATACAGCCCCCAGAGGCCCAGGACGGCCGACGACGCCGCCAAAACGCCCCACGGGCGCCTCCAGAGGCCCCTCGAAAGGGCCCCAGAAGCCGAAAATCGTAAATTTCCTAATGGTTTTTGAAGCATTCTTGCGCTCTCCCATGTTCCACCTCCCCACGGTCCCGGACCGCGTCAGAGGCCCTTCAGATCGCTCCAAGACGGCCAAAGAGGCTCCCGAGAAAGCCCAGAGACGGCCCAGGAGGCCCCCCAGATAAGTCAAGAGGGCCTCGAGAGAGCCCCAAGAGAGCCTCAAGAGCGACCCAAGAGGGCCCGAAGAGTGCGACATTTCGAGGTCTCCGGCCTGAGAGGCTCCTAGGACGCCCCTGGAGGCCATCAAGAGGCTCCCAAGAAGCCCCGTGAGGCTCCCAAGAGGCCCCCCGGCCGACAAGGCCAAAAAGCGCCGCTCGGTGTGAGCTCCCAGAGGCCCCCCTCTTAGAGAGCCGAACAAATCATGCTCCCGGAAAGCTTCCCAGGAACCTGATTCTCTATCTCGGAGTAGGCCCCGGGGGGGGGGGGGCGGGCCGCTGCCTGCTCCCCCCATCGGTGCCCACCAGGGGTTGCGGGGGGGGTCCAGAGCTCCCGAGGCGGCCCGAGCCCGCCCCGAAGCAGGCCACGACAGGCTAAGGGGGTCCCGAGAGGACCCAAGACGGGCCCACGAGGCCCCGAAGACGTCCAAGATGCCCTCAAGACAGCCGATGAGGACTCCAACACGCTCCAGGACGGACTCAAGAGGCTCCCCAAGAGGGCCCTGGAAGGGAAGATTCACTCGTTCTCCGAGTGTTTTGGATTTTGGCGTTCTCGCTTTTCCCGCTTTCCAGCGCTCCCTCACGGCCTCGGAGGCTTTTCAGATCGCTCCAAGAAGGCTCACGAGGCCCCGACGAGGGCCCCTTCCTGGCGTCGACGGGACCCCTCTTGCCACCAGAGGCCTCACAGGGTCGGTTGAGTCCCCCTTCCAGGGGCTGTTCGACATGAACTGCAAATTCGGCCACAGGGCAGCTCTCAGTGACGTCAGGACACACCTCTCGGTGCCGACGGCCCGGTGGCGCCAGCACAGGGAGTGCGTGCATTGGCCAAGTGCGCGGGGCCCACGCTGGAAGATACAAGCGCAGCCAACAGCGCGGGCCCCGAGAGGCACGGAGGGACTCTGCAGTCGGGGCCCGGAATAAGGAACTCTTCTTGTTGGGGAGGGGCTCCGTGTTCCTTAGTGGCTTTACAGTGCTCCTTGGGTTCGCCTGAGGTTTTCCATGGAAAATCAGAGTTTAATGTATGGGAAAAAGGGGCCTCGTTCCTTATTTTTCGTTCCTTAGGTCAACGCCCCGACTGTAGGGCTCCAAGCGGGCCCCTTGACGACGGTAAGGAGATCTCCCAATTCCTAGGACGTCGCCAATACTGTCGTGCCGTCGGGGGGTTCTCGACCCCCTCCCAGGGACGGTCCCCGTGCCGGGAAGCGGCCTCCAGGGGCCTTCACCATCTTCCGGTTCTGCGCCAGGGTTCACGGGAAGCCAAACAACTCCGACCCTCAGAAAGTGGCGCTTACAAAACGGCCCTAGGCGCTTACTTGGCAGCCCTGCCCTGTTCGAGTCCTCCTTCGGGTGCGTTTCCTGAACGGCCTCTCTTGTCGGGGTGCTTAATTCTGCTGCTTTTTCTTTTTCACTTCTCTCAAAAAGATCCTTGGCCAGAGTGACCTTCTGTTGCGGGCCCACGGGGCTCTCCCCCAGCAGAAGTTGGCCTGCTTGGACTTGGCCTCCCCGCGGCCCCCCCAGGCCGCGCACCCGAGGTCGCTCCTGCCTGGGGTCTTGCGGGATCTGAGGGTCGCTCGCTCGCCCTGGCTTCCGAGCGCCAGCAGGCGTACGCGCTGCCGGTGCCGCCGAGGGGCGGGAGCCGGATGTTGCGGCTCTCCCCGCGGGCGCTCGCGGCGGCCCTGGCGGGGGACCAGGGCAGAGCGGCCCTGCGCGAGGTCTCCTCCTCCAGCTTCCTCCTCCTTCCTCTACAGTCGGGGCCCTGAAGAAGGAACCCTTTTGGTTGGGGAGGGGCTCCGTGTTCCTTAAGTGTTTCACAGCTTGCCTCAGGTTTTCCTTATGTTTGCGATCGGAAATCGAAGTTCAACTTATGGAAAAAAGGGGCCTCGTTCCTTATTTTGGGTTCCTTAGGTCAAGGCCCCGACTGTAGGCCTCCCAGATGGTCGGGGAAACGTGAGGCTCGAGTTCGCTGGAACTCGGGTGTGCCGACGCTTTTTTGAGGAGCGCGTCCAGGGTTTTGGCGGGTCAGTCTTCGTGGGATGTTTGCAGCGGGAGCCCGCGTCAAATTTCAGATTGGGGCTCGTCATTTTCGGCCCCGTCAGGCCAACCCGAGTCCCGCGAACCCGGGTCCTACGTTTCCCTGAGATGGGGTCGGAGTAGATGGGGTCGGGGGATCGCGCCGCATCGCCGATGCATCGGCGATGCGGCTCGATGTGGTGCCCGATTTTCTCCGCGCCGACATGTTCAATGCATCGACGAAGCATCGACGATGCATCGCTGACGCGGCGAGACCCTCCGACCCCATCTATTCCGACCCTATCTGGGAGGGGTCTAATCAATGACACGCGCGTTCAAGGTGTGCGTCTGATTAATTCGCTTGTTGTGTAAGCCCCACCCATGGTGCTCCTGCTACTTCTCCAGCAGGGTCACCTTAAAACTCTGACTTTTTCAATTCAACAGTAACATGCGAATGGGGGCCCCCGATCGGTGTAACGTCGATGTTGTTTTTGCCCTCCGACTCTTCACCCTCGTCATCCTCTTCATCCTCGTCCTCCCCACTGCCGTTGCACTCCTCCTCCTCCTCCTCCTCCTCCTCCTCCTCCTCGTCCTCCTCCTCATCCTCCTCCCTGCAGGGATCGAAGCCGCAGGGCGACCTGCTGCACGTTTAGGGGTGCCGCGGGGCGCTCGACGTCCAGCACGGGCACGTCTGAGCCCTTCTGCCGCCTGATTGCGATGCCGGGATTTATCCACAACCACCGCGTTGGAGATCGATCTGCGGGGACCTCGGTAGGCGGTGGATATGGACATGCTTGACCCCCCCCCCCAGGTGCCAGTATCATGTGTACTATATATATATATATACTTTATGTACAAACATCCATCCATACATACATGCATGCATGCATGCATGCATGCGTAATACATACAAGCGAACAAACACACACACATACACACATACATACATACATACATACATGCATGCATGCATGCATGCATGCATGCATGCATGCATACATACATACATACATACATACATAAATGCATGCATACATACATACATACATACATACATACACATACATACACATACATACATACATACATACATGCATACATGCATACATACATACATGCATACATACATACATACACACATACATACATGCATGCATGCATGCATGCATGCATGCATACATACAGACATACATACATGCATGCATGCATGCATACATACACACATGCACACATATACGTACATACATGCATGCATGCACGCATACATACACACACGGACGTACATACATACATGCATGCATGCATACATACATACATGCATGCATACATGCATGCATACATACATGCATACATACATACACATACATATATACATACAGACAGACAGACAGGCAGACATACATACATCACATACATAACATACATACATGTATGTACAACGTTTCTCTATATATTAATCATCTGGGACCTTCCGATCCCCCCCCCCCCCTACACGGGACCCCTCGGGATCCTTGGCTCCAGGGGCACCCTGGACGCCCTTGCAGACGGTCCCCTGTGTTTTCCGCGTCTCCTGAAGCCCCTGCTAGGCTTTGGCAACGGGCCCACATCGGTCAGGAGGACGGCTGGAGGGCCCCTCGATAGCCCTCAGAGGCTCCAGACTCCAGACACCCACCAGACGCCCCAAGACGACCGAAAGAAGATTCCCTAGAGAGGCATTCGCTACCCAAAAACATTGATTGTCTATGGTTTCTTGTATGATGTTGGGAATGCACGGTTCTTCGGTCTTCCGAGCGTCCGAGACCGCCCAAGAGGCCAGAGAATCGCCCCAATTTTCATGAAGATGGCTTCCAGGCAGTCCAAGAGGAGCCCCAAGACGGCCCACCGGGGCTCCAAGATGGCCCGAAGAGAGTCCCACGACGGCCCAAGATGGCCCAAGACGCCTCCCGAATCATTCCAAATCGTCACCCGGTCGTCCAGTGAGAACCGCGGTTGGAAGCAGGGTGGCCAGAAGGCCCCAACAAGCCCTTAACCTTCGTGAGGCTTGCAAGAGGCTCTCCCAGGATGAGCCTTCGTAAAGAGAGCTGAGGATGGGGAAGAATTCGCAGGGTAGGGCGATATTGAGGAAGAGGAAGAGGAAACATCAGGTAAGGATAACAAATAACATGATCACAACGGCGATGCCAGAAAAAGCAACAGCGAGTTATCGCTAAATGTTTTGTTTCACCTTCTTGCCCTCCTGTCGGCATGCCAAACCTTAAGGACCAAAGTGCATGGCGCGACGCGCCACTGCAGTCTTGCATATTCCTATCTTATATGTTTATTACCCGGACCCCCCCCCCCCTCCTAAACCGGATCCCCCCCCCAGGGACGCCCTGGACACCCTTTCGGACGTTTCAGCGGCCCCCTGGACGCCCTTGGAAAAGGTCCGCTGGCCCTTCCGGGCCTCCCAGGGCGCCTTGCCGGGCCTTGCGAGCAGACTCAAGGCGATCAGAGGGGTCATCGGAGAGGCGCAAGAGAGACCCAAGACAGCACCAGAGCGCTCCAAGAGGAACCTCGATGGTCTGAAGACGGCCCAAAAGGCCCCCCAGACGCCCCAAGAGGCTGTAAAGAGAGCCCCGAAGAAGCAACCATCGTCCCACCCCTTCGGGAAAATGTATAAGCTTACCATATCCGCTGTTTGGGATTCCGCAGCGTCCAAAGCGGCCCGGTAGGCCCCGATATCGCCCCAAGACGGCCCAAGAGGCCCCCCAGAGGCTTTGAAGACGGCCCAAGAGGGCCCCAAGGCTGCCCCAGAGAGCCCCGAGACTGCCCGCAAGAAGCCCAAGATGCCCCCAGAAGGCTCCCAAGAGAGACCCACGAAAGCTATAGGAGATCCCCAAGAAAGCCATTGGAGGCCCCCAAGAGGGCCCTAGATGGCTTCAGAAGACCTCTGGAGGGCCCCAGCTCCCCAAGAAGGCCCTGGGACGGCCCAAGAGGGCCCAAGGACGGCCCAAAAGAGCCCCCCAAACGCCCAGACGGCGTTTTCCTACGAAGTACATCGAGCTGACCCGACGGTTGTGGTTCCACGCTTGAGGCTCGAGGTTCCAGTTCCTCGATCGAGAGAGTTAGGCAATGGATCTAGATTCGAAGTTCGACGATCTAAGATTTCCTGACTGAATGGAGCCCTCCAGGCATTCAGGAAGCTACAGACAAATTGATTTGTTCGGTGCTACTGCGACTTCTTCAGCGTGTCATGGGAACGCTCCTTACTTCCTCAAAGGACCATCGCGCGTGAAAAAAACATCATTCCCCCAGCTCCTGCGCGCAAGCGTGCAAGCGCATCGGGCAAACGCGGTGTCAGCAGGCACCAGGGGTATCAGAAAAATGAGCCTGTCGCCCGTCCAGGCTTCGAGGTCCCCCCCCCCCCGCTGAAGCAAACGATGCTTTTCCGGGGAGGGTCCAGAACAAAGCGCATGGCGCGACGCGACAATGCAGTCTTGTGTGTATGTATGTATGTATGTGTATGTGTATGTGTATGTGTATGTGTATGTGTATGTGTATGTGTATGTGTATGTGTATGTGTATGTGTATGTGTATGTGTATGTGTATGTGTATATGTGTATGTGTATGTGTATGTGTATGTGTATGTGTATGTATGTATGTGTATGTCTGTCTGTCTGTTTGTCTGTCTGTCTGTCTGTCTGTCTGTCTGTCTGTCTGTCTGTCTGTCTGTATGTATGTATGTATGTATGTATGTATGTATGTGTGTATATTTTATATATATATATATATAAATATATATATGTATATATATTGGCGGTGCGCCGTGGCACGAACCCCCCCCCCAGCACTACCGGGGGGGGGTTCGTGCACTACCGGGGGGGTTCGTGCAGCCCGCACCGGGTGCCGCCAGCGGCTTAGAACACCCCCCCCTTGCCGCTTTACCGGGGGGGTTCGTGCAGGCCGCATTGGGTCCCCCCCTGTCGCTTTACCGGGGGGGTTCGTGCAGGCCGCACTGCGTCTACCTGGGCTCCCCCCCCCCCCCTGTGGGAGTGGAGGGGTCCGAAGCGGCCCGGGAGCACTCCAAGACGGTTAAAAAGCTGCCAAAGCGTCCCAGCAGGTCTCCGACAGCACTCCCGGGAGGGGCCCAATAGGAAATTGTCACTGATTTTTAGTAGGTTTTGAAGGGTTTGGGCGTTCTCCCCAGTTCGGCTTCCAGACGCTCCAAGGCGGCCCAAGAGGCCCGAAAGATCGCCTCACGACGAGCCCAGAGGCCCCCAAGAGACCACCGAGACAGCCCAAGAGGGCCCGAAGACGGCCCAGGAAGCTTCCAAGACGGCCCAAAAGAGCTCCCAGAACACTCCAAGAGGAGCCCCAGATGGGGAACACGAACTGACATTTCGAGCCCTCGCCCACCAGAAGCTCCCAAGAGGTCCCCAGGAGTCCGCAAGAGGCCTCGAGAGGCCCCAGGAAGTTCCAAGAGGCCTCCAAAAGGCGCCGAAAGGGCCCCGCAAGGCTTCCAGACGCTGGTGATAATGACAATGATGATTATGCAGGGCGGCCTCAGGCCCACAACCAAAATCCCCAATACTGCTCACGCGGCATGCAAGACGCTGCGGAGATATCCTCGAGTTCGGCGGGGGAGTTTCGGAGACGACGGTGACGAAAATGATGACGATGATGACGACTATTATGAAGTTGACGACGACGATGATGATGATGATGGTGGTGATGATGATGATGATGATGAGGAAGAAGATTATGATGATGATGTTGACAGTGGGAATGATGCTGATGCTGATGATGATGATGATGTTGATGATGGTGATCGCGATGTGAGTGATGGTGGTGATGATGATGGTGGTGATGCTGACGATCATGATGACGATGACGTTGAGGATGGTGATGCTGACGATCATTATGATGATGCTGCTGATGGTCAGGATGATAACGCCGATGCTGATAATAATGGTGGCGATGTTGTTTATGGTGCTTGTGATGCAGGAGTGGGCGGATGATGAAGATGATGACGATGATGATGATGATGACGATAACGATGACGACGATCACGACGATCACGACGACGATAATGATGACGATGGCGATGATGAGGATGATTATGTTGATAATCCAGGTGACGATATTGACGATGATGACGACGATGGCGATGATGACGATGGTGATGACGATGTTGCTGCTGATGGTGGTGATGGTGACGATTGTGATGATGGTGATGGTCATGGTGATGATGACGATGCCGCTGACGATGACGCTGGATATGATGGTGATGAGGATGGCGATGATGACGATGACGATTAGCCTAGCTAGCACTTGAGCGCGCGCGAAGCGCGCGCGATGGTTCTAGTATATATGTATATATAGACATGTGTGCGTATAGACATCGTCGCCGCCAGCTGGGGTCCCAGGACGGCGGTTCCCCACGCGGCGGATGTGGACAGATCCCCGCTTCTCTCATGGATGAAGCTCTGGTCGGCGCGCGGGGTTAGTCTTAGCTGCCCGACTGCCTGCGGCAAACCCCGCTGTTGCGCCAGCGCGGCAGCGGTACGGGGCCGCAGAATACGCACCGCCTCCCTCGCCCCTCCCTCTCCCAGGGAAGAGGGGAAGAGGGGGGTGCAGGGAGGGGGAATGGAGGTGGTGGTGCCTACGGTGGGGG